TATTATATTTTTATTTATTAATTTAAAATAGGACAGTATCAGCAAGCAGCTTTAACATAAACATAAACGAGTTAGCACATGAGCTCTATTTCTTTCATGGTCCTAAGGCAGGTTGAAACATTAAACATTTAAAAAGACGGCCACAGACATCCTTCTCTTTCCAATCAGAAGAGTTTTAGTTTAATTAATCACAAATTATCTTTATTTAACATGGTTTATATTAAAGGTGTTCTGTGTAACTTGTTGATTGGTGGTCGGTTGCCTTCTTGTTTGTATAGGTATGTCATTGCTCTGCTTAGAATGTTCCACAATATGACATTATATAGATCTACCTTGCATTTATCAAATTATAAGTGGTTTCATAGCTCAAAAATCTGACTGTGAAAGGGGTTCTCTCTCCACAGATCTTACCTGTAAATTGGTCTGGTTTGTTCTCCATGAATATAGAAAGGTTTAAGACTATACTGTGAAAACATTCCAGACAAAGCCATAACATCTCCATGAAGAAAAGCATGTGACGGACTCCCCACCAGAAAAGTTACACAATGCACCTTTCATTTTACCCGCTGGAGAAATTCTGCAATTCTGTTTGGAAGTTATTTTCCTGTTAGTAAAGGCCTCCACCCTGGCTGTCTGTATCCTTTTCACAGTCCCAGTCTAGCATCAACAAACACTAACCAAATAACCCACAATTTCAACAAGCACCAACTCCTTTCCCACTTCACCACGAAATACTTGATTCTGTTTGCATGGCTATGGGCTGATAATACCAAGACTTCCTTCCACTGGCTGGACACTGGCCTATCTGTGCTTTGCAAAGGAGATGCTGGGGGAACATTTGGCTAGGAGCAGCAGCAGTCGCACCACAGTGGACCGGACTCTGCCCCCCTCATAAATGAGACTCATTAATTCTCCATGTAGGTAGCTAGTTTTCTACATGCAGCGCAGCACCCCGCCTTCCCTTTGGGGACTCAACACTGCACCGGCTCCACTCAGCCCATTCTCATTCCTCCTACATCGCCATCTTCTGCTTTCAAATTTATATGAAGTTGCCAGTTTTGTGCATTTGCATCTGATAAGCCGTGGAGAAAGATTGCCGTCATTACAAACGCTAGCAGCATTTTTTTTAGCTCTTTTATTATGGAATATGTAGCTCTCCCATGTGGCTCCCCTGACCTAAATTTGCAGTTTGGTTCTCTTGACAGTTAAATTTCAAGCGTGTTTGTTTTTTTATTCATATTGGGTCGGTAAGCAGGCAGCGTACCTGAGGCGCCGCGTATTTACATTATAATAGCTTTGAGTGACATTTCTGAATTTTAAATGACTACCAAAGACAAAGAAACTTATTGTGACGGGAGATCGCTAATAGGCAAGTGACAGCGAAATCTCAATTCTGTGTTTGATTAGGTGCCGAATTTCTGATGCTGTATACAGTGGCTTGCATATTGTCAGTGTTTGAGATTGAAGTGCAAAAGTAAAAATGAAAAAAAAAAAAAGAAGAAAAACACATTTGGCGGAGGGCTTTGTGTATTGAAATCGCAGCGAGCATCACAGGCAGCTCGCTATCCACAGTGTAAACAAACAGAGGGCTCTTCAAAGGGCCAGGCTTTGACATAATTGGAAAGGAAATGGAGCCGGAGCGCGCAGTAATGCTTTTTGCCATTAGTGATCGGCCGGTCCCAGAAGAATGAGGAGTGGACAGGTCTACGTTCACACCACCAGCACCTAATTTCTGTTTTGAACTGTATTATATAACATATTCTAGGTGTGTTTTTGATTCATAGATCGCCTCTTTTTGTAGCTGTTTTTTAAAGTGGGCTGATAATGGAAGTATCAAGATTAGAAAAAAATGTCTAAGTAGATAAACAAAACTGTCCTTTGGCCTTGAGCAAAAAGAAACAACATGAAAAAGCTATTCTTTTTTCTTGGCTCTTCCCTTCAGGGGTCCAAAACCAAGTCATCTTCCTCCATTTAGCTCTGTCTTGCACTGCTCTCAAATCCGCAAACACCATAGCCTCTTTTCCAACATTTATTATGTACTTTTTAGTCTTTCTACCTGATGCTTACCTCATAGGAAGATAGCAATTAAGCATAAACCTGTAACCACTGACATGAAGTGAATAGCACAGATTTGAAATTCTGGTGAGTAAGGCAAGCAGAGAATATTTTTTTAACAAGAATAATGACAAGTTTAAGATAATCTGTAGGTGATTCATGTGGGGGGTTTCTGTAGCTCAAATAATGAGATCATTGTTAGTCCTGAGAAGTCTAGCTATGCAGAGGTTGCATACACTCCCGATGGGTGAGTTTCCTCCAGAGACTTACTTTCCTCCATCAATCTCAAACATGCACAATAGGCAAAATCCTCCAGCGAAGGTAGTCCTGACCAAGCCTGTCTCAAGATCTGGAGCTGGTTTCCTGGGCGATGCACGGAGGTTGCCATGGTAGTATTTGAGAACTGGTCAAATGCAATGAATAAATTTCTCAAGGGAGGCAATATATCTAATCCTATTACATATATTAATAACGTAGTCAAACACCATATTATGTTCAATATCATTTTTCTCTCAATTTTACGCTCTCCAAGTCTGGCGTCTTTGCCTATATTTGGAAAGTGTTGGTTTATCCACCTCCAGGTCAACCCACTCAAATCAGCAGAATCCAAAATGTTTTCTATGAACTGGAAATATAGCAGGACAGGAAAGCGCCTCAGTGTCTCACGTAATGCACAGTGTATTATTGAAGCCTGTAATTCTACTGTTTTACATAAACCAACAACTTCATTGAGCAAATTCATTCACTTATCCAGCTTCCTGTCTATACCGCATTTCCATTTTTGTCCAGATGAAATAAGTGATGACAGCATGACCTTATATACTAATAGCGTGTAATTGGAGAGTGGTTATTATTACAGGCCACTGGTGAGGTCTTGTCCTGGGAGGTCTGAATGCGAACTCTTCAGACATCCTTAAGAGCCCTATCTGGATCTACTCATGTATAATGTAACTTGGTGTGATGTGCAGATGTCCAGGCTAGTGACGCACACTATACAGACACATTCAGATTATACGGGTTGGATTCGTTCCCTTCTCATGTGAAGAGCCCTTGGACTGGTTCTTTCTTTCTTGTTTTCAAAGGGAGTAGATGCTTGTTAGATCTCAGTGTTTAATTTTGAGTATTTATTTTCCAAGGCGAGAGGCATTCATGTCAAGTCTTTTGTTGCAGCCGGTCCTTGGAGTTTGTGTCCATACGGTGATCTTAATGAGCCGTTGACCTTACAGCATTGATAGCCCGCAGCGAATGTAAATAACTGCTTGGCTTTCAAAAGTTCTATTAAATCAATGACTCATCAGCACTATTTGTTGCACACGGCATAACTTAATTTGCTTGACTTGATTGAGCTGATCTACATAAAAATTGAATTTGCCCCGAGATGGATTCATGCTTCATAAGGAGTGTGGTGGAGGCTGCACGGACCATGACAGAACAGGAAATCACAGAGCTACAATGCAGTACATGACCTTTTGGGAATGGAGTGATTTGGATTTCAGTTAATGAATTATTCTGTTTTTGTTTTTTGCTATAGTTGAGACTTAAAAAAATGTTTTGGAATAAATCATTAAAAACATGTGAAACTAAAAATTCATCTTTGTTTAATTTTAAAATATTGTCATGGCTTAGATGAACTTAGAATCTCAAAAGTCAGAATCCTATAGACTATATGGCCTCCTGCAAAAACATCGTATTAATGGACCTGTAGACCAACTTCACACTGTCTATCTCAGTACATGCTCACACTAGAGACCTATTTCAGAGGAAAAGAACAGCTCAGGAAATCCACTGTATAGAACAGGTGTCCAGAGATCATTTAAGAGCAGGAGTTCAAGAACAGACTGTTGCTGTGTTTTCTGAGAACTGTGGTGTGGATTTTGGAGGGAAACTGACCAAATATTAGATACTGCGGTTTTGAAGTGCTGTAACAGTGTAGCTCTAGGTGTACACTGACTGTGCAAGTGTGGTGCGGTTCAGGACTCAGGCAGGTCCCACAAGATTTAAAACCACGTTGCAAGTAACCCTCTCAAAGTAATTACCAAACCCAACATGTAATCAGTATAAATCCAGCATAATACTTAGTGTGCTTGGTGGCACATTGCACATACTCTTCACAGCAAGGTTCCAAGTTCGTCTCCCGGGCAGTATGAGTCTTTCTGTGTGGAGTTTGCATGTTTCTTCCTGTGCATGGGTGGCTTTCCTCCAGGCACTCAGGTCCTTCCTTATCAAAAGATGCACAATAGGCAATCCTCCAGCCTAGTTTAAAATCTAGAGATGGGTCTCCCAGCGCTATGTGGGTGTATCTCACTGGTCTGACAGTTTGCCACAGCAGCTCTGGTCAAAGAATCGTTCAAGTGCAAAGAAAAAAAAAAATCCCTTATAAAGCATCAGTTAAGTATATCTTGACCTTAGACTTAATTAGTAGTCAAGTAATATCACTTTTACGTGTACAACAAAAACAAAAATGACATTTATGATCTATGTGGGAGTGATAATACAGTTGATAATAGAGTAGCAAATACCATTTTACCATAGTTTTATTGCGACCACAGCTAGAATGCTGCTGAACAAACAAAATTCCATCCCTTGACCTTTAGATTATAGGGGAACACTCTTCCACTTTGCAATACAAGTCTGAAAATACTCTTTTAACAACATTACAATTACTGAAGTAAAATAAAATATTGTGAAGTCATGATTTAAAGTCAAGTTTTATTTTCAGAAAGTACACTTTCAGGAAACAAAATGGTTTTGAATGGTGAATTGTGCCAGATGGGGACACAACTGATTCAGTGTTCACATAAAAGTGTCTCTTAGTAATCTGTAGAGTGATTTAACAGTTTAAATGTTAAAGTCAATTGTATTGTATTTGTGAGCTGTCCACGGAGTGTTATCCTGGCGCCCTCCTCTCTGCTTCTCCTCTCTAACCTTTACCTTTGTTTTGACAGATGCTATGCTGCTGGTCGCGCAGAGGCTAGAGGGACCTTTCAACATTGAATCTGTCATGGAGCCTATTGATGTGAAGATTTCAGAGGCCATCATGAATATGCAGGATAACAGCGCCCAGGTTTCCTACAGGGTACGTCAATTAGCTTTATTCCACATAGCATTGACTTAGAAGCTTCACATCACAGCTAAAGTTAGTCAAAGTGGAACTACTAAGTCACACTGTGCGCTGTAAGGTGTGCACCGAACAACACATGCTAATTATGTCCAAGTTTAGGTTTGAATTTGAATTATACGTTAGGCTTTGGTCAGATAATCTTAGTTCAACTAACAGTAGTTAATGTGTTTCCTGTGCTTTACTGCATTCTCCTTTGCCCACAAAATTGTAGTCAGAACGTCAAAAAAATGTAGGTGGTTGTGAAGATATCCGACTGCCTACACACTTTTAGATGCCAGCTCCTGTTCAGTTAAATGCCCTGTTGGTTTTCCCATGCAACAGATGCATTTTTGTTTATGGCTTAAGTATATGTGGTGCTTTCCCCCAAATCCCATAAAAATCTTCCCCCTGTCATTATAAATAGTCATTGTCAAAGCATCTATCAGAACAGCTCCCCTCAGATTGATGCAGCGCGCTGTCATGTACGGTAACGCGGGGTGAATGTCTTTTGGCCTTAAGCAAACATGTTCGCCCTATTTTTTCCTGCCTCCGGGGGTAATTTCAGACGGTGACTATGGGTTCACCCGTGTCCATGTAATTGCAGGTTTTCCAAGGTTGTGGCCAGCCCAAACCCGCAGGAATGAGCAGATCCGCACGTGGTGTTTCGGACGTGTTTACCGCCCGCTTCAAGCCCTACAGCCCCGAGGAGCGCCCCACCACTGCAGCTGGCACTAGCCTCGACAGACTGGTGAGGAATCCACTGTTTTCATCTGTGGTGGAAGGTAACAAAGTACAAAAGTAAAAGTACAGTTTTTTAAGGTGCACTATGTAACTTTTTAGTTGGGTCTGTCTCCTGATTCTTTCTATGGCTATGTCATTGCTCTGCCTGGAATGTTCCACAGTATGACATTAAACAGATCTACTTTACATCTATTCCACTACAGATATCTCGAAAAACAGGCACTCTGAAACAGGCACTCTGACTCTGAGCGGGGTTGTCTGTCCACAGATCTGACCTGTAACTTGGTCTGGTTTGGTCTCTGAAGATAGAAAGGTTTAATACCAAACAGTGAAACATTCCAGACAAAACAATAACATCTCAAGTACAATTTTTAGGTATCTGTATTTTACTTGAGTCAATTTTACAGTGGATACTTTTTACTTTTACTTTACTAGATTTGAGAGCAGGTATCTGTACTTTCAGCTCCACAAAATTTTAGATCTGGATGGAAAATCAAATCAAAACCAAAATCAAAATCAAAACTGATGCTTTTCTCCATGGAGATGTCATTGCTTTGTCTGGAATGTTTCACAGTATGGCATTAAACCTTTTTTATTTTCACGGAGATCAAACCAGACTAAGTTACAAGTCATATCTACGGAGAGGCAACCCCGCTCACAGTCAGAATACCTGTTTTTCAAGGTATTTTTGAGCTATAAAACCACCTGTAATTGAATAAATGTAAGGTAGAGCTGTTTAATGTCATACTGTGGAACATTCTAAACAGAGCAATGGTATATCCATAGAAACAAGCAGGAGATGGACCCCCAAACAAACCGTTACATAGTACACCTTTAATTTGAGTTAATTTAGAACTAAGAACAAACCAAAAGCACAAAAACAGCTACAAAAATCATCATCATCAGTTGAATCACTTAAAATCAGCTTGATTGCACTAACGTTCACTACATTTCATGCTTTAATTGCAAAATTCTCTCTACAAAATTATTTTCTCTTAAACTAAATTTTTAAACAGGTATTTCAATAGTTTAGATTTTTTCATATGAGCAAGATTATGAGTAAACGTTTGCCCCTGTATCTGTACTTTTACTTAAGAAACAAAATTGAGTACTTCTTCCACCACTGGTTTTCAAGTACGCAGAGACACAGCATTTTTGGGCGTAAACATCGTTTGTCTTTCTTGACTTGACACTGCTGATTAAAGCTAGTGATTTGCCACAGTAAGCCCCCCACAGCCGGAAATTAATTCTTTGTACCCGTGAACTATTCAGGTCCCCCATCTCTATCGATTTGTGCTTGTGTTAACGAATCAACAGCTCCGTGGCGGGAGAGCAGCCACACCTCCTCTGCCCTTCTCATCCCTGTTTGTACGTTTCAAACAACAGAGAATAGAAGGCATGGAGGTGGAGATGGATGGTTTTCGAAGAGTGGCGCTATCAATTGTTTTCTGTAACGCGGGTCTTTATTTTCCATCAGATTAAGCACATGTTAGTGGGATTGGATCTTGATATATGGATTTCCATTTCCAACAACCTTGAGAGTTAAAATGCCGCCGTGGGCTAAAGGTTAACACAAAGCTGGCAGTTCCATTGAGCTGAGAGACAGTACTCAGCATGGATTAGCTTTCCACACTCTGACCCTCTCCTGTCACAGTGAACCCTCTTAAGTTACTGTTGAAGAGTTTTATTAGAAAATTATAAGACTGAAAAAAGTTTTTGGCACTTTCTGAAATTGGTTTAAAATATAGTCTTAGCCTTAACATTGCTTCTACTATGCTGACACATACCAGAGATATATTTTTCACTGATAAAAAATGATTTATATTGTTTGGTACAATATTTGTCATGGAGCAATTACTCTTGAATTACTGATACTTAAAGGACCCATATTGTGCTATTTTCTGATTTATGTTATCATGTTTTTTCCTCAAAAACATGCCAAGAGTTGTGTTTTGTTTCAATCACACATGTTTAACACACTAACCCTTCATATTTAGGCTGAGTTCTTCTCTCAAACAGACTCTGTCCCACTCTGTGATGTCATGTGGTAATACAGGAAGAGCCCCACTGTGTTTTTAAACCCCATACATGTTCACTAGAATAATTTGGATAAATCCAGTCTTGGAATTTCCAGTCTCCACTTAACAAAAGGTAAAAGGTAGACATGACATCACGAGGTGGAACACAACATTTTGTGCTTTGGTGATGTCGAGTACTCAAACATGTGTGAATGAAACAAAACTCAACTTGTGTGATAGGACCTTTAAAAAAAATAAAAAAAAAAAAACACAACTTTAGGACCTAGGACCTTCACCAGTCAATATACTCACATAATTTACATTTTACAGTCCACAAAACACAACTCCAGGTGTGTTTTTGATGAGGTAACAACATTCCAATATAAAAGCTTAGAAAAGGCAATTTAGAGTAATATAGGTTTTTTAAGTTGAATGTCCTTAATATCCTCTTATTATTCACTTTTAATATGTACGTTTCACAGCCTTTATCCAAACTTGTCCGTAACTCCTTCGCAACAAAACGTATTCACTGTTTAGTTGAGCTGTCATTTCCTCCACGGAGTTTGAAAACAAGCTCGATTCACTCTCTAAATGCTTTTTGTCAGGTTAATAATATGCTATTTATCCAGCGTAAAAACTCAATTTGAAAAGCAGTTCTTTTTCCCCCATCTGGCTCTTAGAATGCACAAATAAAAGCGTGGGTTATTTGTTTTATTCAATACTAATTGCATTTCCGCTCTTTCCCATTCATATTGCACTGGTTATTGATGTCCCTTATACAACAGTACTGTGTGTGCTCTGTAGTCATGCATGTCCATCAGCTCCTGCTTCCACCTACTGTGAATTAATTGAGTTTGTTTCTCTGCTTTTCTGCTGCAAACCAGAGGAGTGTTTGGAATGAGATGCAACACAGTGTAAGGTTCAACATTTTCTTCCTCGTCATTTTTTATGCTTTGAATTCCTTGTTTATGTATTGTGTGTTACGTGAATGTGTTCTTATCTGCCTACACTGGCGGGATAGACTGGGGTGGGGCAAAGATAACTGAAATTAGCTGCTTTTTTTTTTTTTTTTCACATTGGTGTTGGCATGCTTTATGAATGTAATATTATTTCCCATTGCGAGGTACGGTTACGAAGTACGGAGAAAAAATAGTGAATAAAGTTTTTGTCATTGTAAATTCACTTTGCCAGTTGCAGGACTTGGCAGTGTCTTTGCCGAAAATAGTATTTAGAGTTTAATCTGAACCATTTATAATAGAACGACTAAAGAATGTGGCTTCTCTAGTAGTATTAGTGACCTGTCTTGATAGAATTGAATTACTACATAAATTTGAGTAGAGTGATATTGATTGATTGCGTTGGTATTATCATCAACACAAGTATTAAGCACATGACCTGCTGTTCGGCTTGAAAGCATAGCAATTTTTAAAGCTACAGACATAATGCGATAAGTGACAATACTGAAACTGCTTTACTTTAGACAGTGTCATTCAAAAGGCATGAGCTGGAAGAAATAAACAGCTGGAAGAAAGCAACAATAATATATAAAATAAAATATTTCAACAAACATACCCCAAATTTCTCCACTTTTGCAAGTAAATTGCACACACAATAAATATTGAGCCCCAAAATATATTGTTTCAGCTCTCATGTTAAAGTCGATATAGTAATTATTGAGACAGGCCTACCTATTGTTTTACTTATGATCACCATCAGTTTATTTGTATTGTCTTAAATAATTAGGTCTCACAAGATAAATCTCCAGATTCTAATGCTGACCTAAGTGTAAAATAAGTGGCTTTATCAAATGTTTGACACTAAAGTGAAGCTGCTAACACCACAGGGATTGTTCAACACATGCCACGATGTTCTGGGCTGCTACGCGAGGTCCCCAGGAGAGTCAACACAAGGCGTCTTCAACACATCTATTCTTGACACATCCTGTTATAGAGCCTCATTGCCATTGCTAATAGAGTCAGGTCCTGCAGGAAGCCGTCCAGTCAGAGGTGGCGTAGAAGCAGTCTGTGATGCTGAGGGATGCAGCTGGTGTTGGTGTTGTGGAGCAGTGAAGGCTCCAGACGCTTCATGAATAACACGATAATTAGTCTGCCTGCACAGTCTCAACAAACAACTTATATTACTGACGTATGATAACTGCCAGGGAGCTACCTGACTACAAAAAGTCCTTTGTGAGATTTCAGGACTGATCAGAGAGGCTGCAGAAGGCGCACGTGGTGACATTTCAGTAATGTGCTGCTATGGCGGGCTCCTGGCGAGAGGAATAAAACGCTTGTTTTATCTTTAGGCTCAGTCTGACTCACAATTATAGCATCCAGCTGGACGTGACAAACGGCCCCATTGAACTGCAAGAATGACTTTTGAACAGGTACAAATGCTTTTAAAGAAAATCTATTTAATAGGCATTGTTGGGGAGACCTTGTTTAAAAGATGTTTTTAGATATTGATTCTTATTCTTACATTATATCTACTGCAGTGTGTTTATGAGTTTATGTGCCAGTTTTTAAGATGATATTACAGAGCTTTTATTGATGGAGGAAACAGCTGTGTGAAAGCTTTAGTCCATTTTTAAAGTACTCAAAAAAAATACTTTCACTCTTAACAACATGTGGCTTGAAGGCTTTGTTCGGTTCACCTTCTTGGTGCAGACTGTTGTAGCTGTAGACTTGTATCATGCTGCTTAGTGAATCATAAGAATGAAGCAGGTTTATGCTGCAGTGGGGCACCGCTGCCTTCCTTTGAGACCACGTCTCTGTTGTTGCGTTAACTGTGTTCGTTCACAGAGATAATTGGCCGTGACAGTGACACTGCTCAGCTAGGAGAAAGTCGACTATGGCTTTAAGTGTCCTTTGATAAGAACTTGTTGTCTGAATTTACTGCCTAAGTTTGTGAGCAGAGCGTTCCCACGCCGTGAGATTTCTTGTGTTTTGAATGAGGAGTTCGGAGGGGCGGCCCACCCCCAGCTCAATGA